GGGAAGTTTGAGTCAGAGCAGGTTTGCCAGTGGAGGCGTGGACAGCGTTGGTATTGGCACTGATGTGTGACAGCACACACAGTGGAGCTTCCCCAGCCCCGGTGTCCAGTGGTTTTGTTTGCATGGATCACATGCTGTCCGGGTGGCTGACCTTTAGCTCCCAGCCCCTGCAGAGGTGGAGGGGCTACCTTGTGGCCCAGGCCATTGCCCTAAATCACGTTCTTAGGTTGCCTGTGGGGCCTGAGGCCCCTGCTCTTGGAGATGAGGCCAAAGGCAAGGTTACTTCTTCACTAATCACAGGCGTACCCAGTGCTAAGGCTTTTGATGTTTGGTACCAGACACTGAGGAGTAGCCGCTGCCCGCTGAGGGTGGGAGGAGGCTGGATCTGGCCATGTGCCGCTGGCCTTGAGCTTGCCAGAAAGATGGAGACATGAGTGGGATGTCACTCGAACTCAGTGTGGGCTCACTGTCCAGAGGTAGTGTCTCACTTTGAACTTGGAGAAAGGGGATGTCCAGTCAGCCTGTCCGCTGTCCCCTGGTTCCTAACAGCCAAGCTTCTTCACTGTGACGGAAACGCGGAGGCCCAGGGCTCCTGCAGGGGTTGCGACTCCTCCAGAGGGCTGGGGCCTCTGGTCCTGCCATCATGCATGGTCCGAGGACGGAGGAATCTAGAATTCTCTCCACTCATGTTGTTGCCTGTGGCAGTCAGCTTCTCAGAGGAGGTCATTTGAGGGCAAGAGCTCCTGAGTGGGGGCCTGTGGTGGGCGCAGACACCGCTGCAGCCTGTGTGGGTGGCCGGGCCTCTTCAGCCTTGTGTGCAGGTGCTTTGCTAAGAGGGAGATGTCTTGCCGTGTTGACTCATTCTTTGAAGGTCGTGTGCTGGTGCGATTCTCTGTATTTAAACACCTGATCAAACACCGGGAGGCTGGCATGGTGGTTCACACCTGTAATCCCGGGACTTCAAGAGGCCAAGGCGAAAGGATCTCTTGAGGCCAGCAGTTCGAGGCCAGTCTGGATAACATAGTGAGCTCTCGTCTATAAAAAACCAAAAAGCACACTTCGAGAGTGGGCAGTGCAGCTAGTTTAAGTTTTCCTAATCTGAAATTCAAAATGCCCCAGAATCCAGAAGCTTTTGACTTGGACAAGATGCTTGAAGGACGTGCTCAGTGGAATGTTTGGATTTTGGAGTTTTGGATTAGGGAGGCTGAGCCAGTACATATTTGCAAATATTCCAAAATCTGAAAAAATCTGAAGTGCAGAAGCACTCTTGGTCCAGAGCACTTGGGATGAGGGATCAGCATCCTGCGTGAGCAAGGAACAGTGGCTGGCTCCTGGCAATGCCCCTTGAACTGTGCATTCCTCTCTCTTTTTTTTTTGGCAGGGGGTGGGGGCATCTCTCTCTATTGCCCAGGCTGGAGTGCGGTGGCATGGTCTTGGCTCACTGCAACCTCCGCCTCCTGAGTTCAAGCGATTTGCCTGTCTCAGCCTCCTGGGTAGTTGGGGTTATAGGAACAAGCCACCACGCCTGACCTAATTTTTGTAGTTTTAGTAGAGATGGGGTTTTGCCACATTGGCCAGGCTGGTCCTGAACTCCTGAGCTCAGGTGATCTACCCACCTCGGCCTCCCAAAGTGCTAGGATTACAGGCGTGAGCCACCACGCCCGGCCTGATCTTGGTTTTGAAAGTGATATCAGCCGTATTACTTTGTGTAGAAATGTTTGCCTTAGGTGGTGTGGAAGACGGACCATGTGATTTGATGCAGTCCAGGCAGCAGATAACAAAATCTGGCCTCAATGGTGTGGCCTGGGATTTCCCCTGACCTTGGTGCAGCGTGCGCATTGCTGCCTCCCCTTTCTCTAAACTGTGGGACGGTTGGAGAAGGTGGGAAGTTAACTGCCACTTTCAACATCAGTTGGCAAATTCCTCAATACCTTTTTTTTTTTTTCTGGGAGACAGAGTCTTACTGTCGCCCAGGCTGGAGTGTGCAGTGGCATGATCTTGGCTGACTGCAACCTCCACCTCCTAGGTTCAGACGATTCTCCTGCCTCAGCCTCCCAAGTAGCTGGGACTACAGGCACAGGCCACCATGCCTGGCTAATTTTTGTAATTTTTAGTAGAGATAGGTTTTACCATATTGGACAGGCTGATCTTGAACTCCTGACCTCATGATCCGCCCACCTTGGTCTCCCAGAGTGCTGGGATTATAGGTGTGAGTCACCATGTCCGGCCATTCTGAATTCTCTTTTTAAATTCCTTTAGAACTGTGGGTTTGTGAACTTTTCAGCATTGGGTGGAGTGAAATCTTTACTCTTTCTCAGTGGGAAATTGGAGGGGATTATTGAGGCAGGGGAGTAGGTCTGGGGGATGAGAGTGGGGCAGGGAAAGGGGCATCGGGTAAGGAAAGGACCGGGGTGAGGAGAACTGTGCTGAGCTAGCAGGTGGCACCCTGCGGCTGGTCCACAAACATGGGGGCCACTCCCCATACCCGGAGGCTTTTTATGCTGACTCTGGGATTGGGATGCACCCTCTCCCCAGAGAGCCGCCCACCCTTAGCACATCCACCTCCATTCCGTTTTAGGGCTTCCATGTGCTGGTGTGGCCTGTGTGCATTTCACTGAGGCCCTGCACCCCTGCGGTACTCCCTGAGCTGGGTGAAAGCCCAGGCTCTGTCCAGCAGCCGCTTTGTTACTGTGCTGCTGCTGGGAAGCTCCCGTTGAAGCGTTTTGAAGCACAGGCAGGATGCGGGCTGTAGGCAGCAAGGGTTCTTTCCCAGGTCGCAGCTGAGAGCCTCAGAGGCCAGAGTGCCTGCGACCTGGGCAGTCAGGAGGCTCTTGGCCCGAGGGACTGAGGCCAGGTTTTCCAAACGAGATGAGGATGCAGGGTTACAAGTGATGCATTTGATTTTGACATGTGCATTTATGAGGGAGAAATCCTCCCAGTGGAATCCGTGTTTCCGAAAATGCCCGTGAGAGCCACAGCAGCATATGGGAAAGGCAGAGCCCGGGAAACCATCGGATTGGCTCTGCCTGTGGGATGGAGAGGGAGCGCCTGGCTGCTGGACTGTGGGTGTCGGGGGGTGGGCTAGAGGAGGGCGCTGGTATCCTCAGTGCTCTGGAGGGGGCTCAGGGCTCAGCCACTGGACTCCTGGTGGAGGACAGAGGGGCCTATGGAGACAGGTGCCTGCTTGCTGGTTCTGCTGGTCTCTGGGTGACGAACTCAGCCACTGTGGAGGGAGAGCTGATACCCGAGACCCCGCACAGGCTGGGGGTCGGAAGGTGGGCAGGGTTGTGCCTCCACTTGAGTGACAGGCCGGCCTGCCATTGGTCCAGTGACCTGCCCCATGCTGTGACCTCCCTCAGATCCTGGCACCCAAGCCCACGAGTATGGCTCAGCTGCATACTAGAATTGATGCCAGGATAAGTCCAGCTGGAGAGGCTGGGTGGGAGTCCCAGCTGGTGCAGGATGAAGGGACTAGGAGCAGCGCCCTCTGCTGAGCTAGGCAGGAGGTGCAGTGTCGGGGGCCATCCCTGCCACATGCCGTCCAGCCTGTGGGGGGATGAGCATCCCGTGAGTCCAGATCCATCCCCCGTCCCCGTGGCGTCCTCTTGGGCTGCCCCTCTGTGCCACCATGGTCATGTTTGTGGCAGCTGCTTAATGAGCCCATCAGACTTTGGGGGCTGTGTGGCTGGCGCAGTGCAGGGCATTTAAGTTGCAGCACACCCTGAGAATTCGGATTCATCCCGCCCCAGAGCCCAGTTATGTTTCTTAGTCCTCGTTTTCTCCTGTTCACCCACCATGCCTCCCTTCGGCCTCCTGCTGCAGCTCCGCTGCTCGGCTGCAGGGGTCGGGGAGGGGAGCTGCGTCGGGTCCGCACTGTGGCCCCAAGGCCATGCCCGCTTTTTTCTGTCCTTTTGTCCCCCTGGCCCTGAGAGAAACACAGGGGCCTTGTTGGGAACAGCGTTCCTGAAGCTTCCGTCCCCATTTCTGGCCGCAGTGGGCCAGGCGCCCTGTGCTTGCCTGCCTGGTGTTGGTTGTGTTTTGGGCAGTGGGCGCTGCCACAGCCCTGGGGGTGGGGAAGCTGGGCTGGCCGCCGCTCTGCAGCGAGGCCGTGCGGCTAACTGCGTGTGTGGGCAGCTCTGTTACAACCCCTGTCTATGTAAAACAGAACATGGGTCGCTGCCTTGTGGAGAGGACGTACATACCGAAGGAGACCCGAGCAGATATGGTGTGGAAAATTATTGCCCAGGAAGCAGTGGCCATGCGCCCTGGTTAAAGAGAGGGAGGGAACTGGGACTTTGTTTCTTACTGAACCAGCGTGTAGACCTGCTGCATTGTAACTGGTGCATCCATGAGTCTGGGTCAAGGTTGGATTCGTGGATGTGCTGATCTGGATGTGGACTGGGGAGCGCAGGCCTCTCTCACGTGCTGGATAGTGGTGCTTCCTCCCGAGGAGGCTCACGTGCTGCCTCACAGCTGCCCTGGGCTGGGTCCTTCCCTCTGCAGGGCACGGGGCACAGCTGTCTGTCTGAGGCTCCTGGTCTGAGCAGCAGCAGTCAGTGTGCGTCAGGGGAGTGGCAAGGCTGGGGTGCCCTAGAGGCTGGTGCCTGCCCTTGTCCTTGACAGTGGCGGTGTTTATGGAGAGGGCTGGTGTCTCCCTCAATGCACGATGAAGACTAGGGTCAAGGAACCATTCTCCCGTTTCTTGCTGACAGTTTTCAAACACAGGAAAGTTGAGAATTTTGTCACCCATTTATCCACCACCTAGATCCCACCATCAGGAGCAATGTTCTTAAAGGAAAAAGTGGTGAAAGTAAATGTGTTGAAGACATTGGCTGTGTTCCAGTTATCAGCATTGCTGAATGATTTGGCCCCATCTTCAGCAGCTGGAAACAGCATATGGCCAGGCGCCTGTGCCTGCCACCGCCCACGCAGCCCGCTGGGCAGCCGAGGACCCTGCGCTGCTCCTGAAACCTAACGGGGGCGTCTCTCTGGCCTTTTAGGACGGTGGCGAGGAGGTGTACGGCCCTGACCTTCACGGCCTCTGAGGAGAAGGTCTTGGTGGCCGACAAGTCTGGAGACGTGTACTCCTTTTCGGTGCTGGAGCCTCACGGATGTGGCCAGCTAGAGCTGGGGCACCTGTCCATGCTGTTAGATGTGGTATGTGGGGGACGTGATATGTGGGGCACAGCTGAGCCAATGTCTGCCCGGCCTGTGCCCCAGCATCTGGTGGGGAGAGTGGGGCTCTCCTGTAGCAGGGACAGCCCTCTGCAGATTTCGGAGCAGGAGAGTGGTGGGAACAGGATTTAGGAAGGTGAAGCAGACAGCAGGGAGAACAAAGGCAGGTGAGTCAGTGGTGTGACCCCAGGTCGGAAGTGAAGGTGTGGGAGAAGCAGGTACGGCTGTGAGCCTCTGGCTCCGCCTCCTTGGCCCAGGGCTGTGCCAGGTGCTATAGGAGCATCACCTCGGCACTGCTCCCAGCAGCCCCTGTCACCCCACCCTGCCTGTCCTGTGTCACAGACTCCTGGAGCCCTAGAGGGCCCAGGCCCACAGCCCGGGTGGTAGAGCTGGGATCGGACACAGCAGGGACTATCAGGAACAACGGCAGGTGCAGGGTGTCAGGGGAACCTCACTGGGGACTTGGCAACAGCTGGGTGTGGGGACACATGGGACAGGAAGGCGAGGAAGCAACCCTGGTGTTGGGCAGGAGGGTGCAGCAGGCCTGGGGCGGGTGGAAATGGGAGTGTGGGGCCTGGATGTGCTGAGGTGCGGGAGACAGATGGGTAACTGTGGCATGGCCACGCCCCAGAAGCCTGCCCTAGCACCGAGTGTGGGCTGGAGGCGGCCAGGGACCGCCTAGGGAGGGAGGAGGAGGGCCAGCGATTAGATGGAGGGGTGGGAGGACGGGGGAGCCACCCTGGTCTGTCCTCGAAGGCCGCAGCCTCTTGGCAGCTGGGCTGCAGGCTCCCTGTTTCCATGAGGGACTTGATTCGGGGAAGGCCCAGGCGAGCAGCTCTTTCTTTTCTGGCCCCTGGTGATGCAGGCTGTGAGTCCTGATGACCGCTTCATCCTCACTGCAGACCGGGACGAGAAGATCCGAGTCAGCTGGGCCGCCGCACCCCACAGCATTGAGTCTTTCTGCTTGGGACACACAGAGTGAGTGCCCCCTTCCTGCCCAGCAGCAGAAAGAAGCTCCTATTGGAAACAGCGTCAGCTTACGGCTCAGCGGGTGCCACTAGCCAGCGAGGCCCCACCCGGTGACAGCGGCCTGTGCTTGGTCACTGCAGGTGCCGTGGGTGCTGCCTGCGGAAGCCTCGAAAGCGTGGGGTTCACGCTGCGTTGTTAGGTACAGTCTGCAGGTGCCCCCTATTGGTCCTGAGCAAACGAGAGGGCGTGTTTCCGGGAGGGTCCTGTCTCAGCGTGGAGACCTCTGCACCATGGGTGTGATGGGGGCGAGGGCGCACCTTAGTGATTCCAGCTGTCCAAGAATGAAGCTGCCTCTGCGCCCAGGTGGTGGCCTTTGCCAGTGGCCTCTCTCGTGGCAGCCAGCTCTGCCAGCACTTGTGCGGAGGTGTTTCTGAATGCCCGCTTCTCCTTCACACAAAAGGCCAATTAGAATTTACACAAAGGAAAAGTGCTTAGTGTAATTGCCTGAAATGTTTTAAAATACAGTATTTGAAGCAGTGGAAGAAACTGGAGGGAGGGAATTCAGTGCCGAGGTTCCCTGTGTGTTCCTGGTTTTGAAGGGATGCATTTCCCATTGAAGAAGGCCAGTCACTGTGTGTGTCTCAGGCTAGCTTGTTTTGGCCTGCATTTAGTTCCCTGGTGATGCGGCTCTGGAGTTCTCTGGCCTGCAGCACCCTGGCCCCTCCCCTCCACCGTCTCCCGCTGGGGTCTCTGTAGCTCCCCTGCCTCACCAGGTGTGTGACGGAGGTTTCTGCTGACGGGAGCACGTTTCCCACCCCTTTGGGAAATGCCTCATCACTTGGATAGTATTGAATAAAAACATAGTATTAAAATCAACTTCACCTGCTCTTTTGCTTTTCGATACGGTGGCCGGCAAGTGGCAAACAAATCCCTGTGGCCCCTGCGTGTGGCTGGAGCTACAATTCTGCTGGTCGGCGCTACTCCTCGCCCTCTGCCGACATTGCAGGGTTTGTGGCCGCCTCCGCCGCGTCCGAGTGGTTCTGTGGGCCGGTTGTGCCCGCTGCTGTCTGCAGCCCCCAGCGCAGTGCCTGGCACAAGTAAGCGCTCAGCAGACACTGCAGTGATTGAACAAGTTATTTTTTGAGATTTTCTTTCAAACCCATGGGAACTGGTTTCTGTCCTTTCCTGTTGAGAACTGTGAGGCTGCTCGGACCCTCTGCACAGGCCCTCCTGGGCCCTGTCTGCCCTGGGCCGTGGGCTGCTGTCTTTTCCTTTCGGAGGGTCTGCGATAAAAAGCCAGCCCTCGGTGCTGCGGTGCCGTGCAGGGCAGTGGCTGCGGGACGAGGCCCAGGCCAGGCAATGGCTGGCCCAAGGTAGTGGAGGCTGTGACTGGCGGACATGAAGGGAGCCTCACGGGCCACCCCATTCCAGGAGTCCCTGGGGACCCCGTGAATGAGGGATTGCTTGAGGTCACTATTACAGTGGGAAGAAAAACAGGCCTTGTCACCCTTGCAGGTGATCGAGCCAGGATGGGTTTCCAGGAGAGCTGGGCTGCCTGGGTCACTCTTCATGGCTGTTCTGATGGGGGCGTGCCTGTGACTTTGAGTCCTGTACTGTGGTAGGCCACACCCTTGCAGGACGACTGGGCCGGCTCAGCAGAGCCAGCTCTCTGGCCAGGTCACTCAGAGTTGTCACTGAGGGGCCAAGAGGGCCCTGATTGGACTCTGTCCGTGGGTTTGGCTGCCCTCCTCCCAGTCCTCGTCCCGCCTGCCCTCCTTCCCCCGCACCCTCCTACCCATGTGCTGTGCTTTGAGGCTCCGCCAGGGCTCCTTTTGTCACAGTGCAGGTGCCTCAGGCAAGGGTGGGTGCTAGGGGCCTGTGGGGGTGCAGCTGAGCAGAGCCACTGCAGAGGGGCACAGACGAGGTTGAGTCTCTGGCAGGCATGGCTGAGGAGTGGCCTGGGTTAGAGGTTCCTGTGCTGTTGGGGACCCAGGAGACCCAGGAATGACCCCCTCGCCTCCCTCACCCTGTCCAGGGGCCGCGGGCATGGGCTAGCTACTGCTTCTCTCTCGCTCTCACAGGTTTGTGAGCCGAATCTCCGTGGTGCCCACTGAGCCCGGGCTGTTGCTGTCCTCCTCTGGGGTAAGTATTCCTAGCCCCGCGTCACTCACCTCTGGATTCTGCGGCCAGCAGGGAGGGTGGGGTGGGTGCCCCCTAGAACTGGCCCCTCTAGATTGCTGGCCGCGTGCTGTCCGTGGCTGTCCACTAGATGGTGCTTGTTTCCAAATCTTGGAGCTGCCCATGGCTTGCTCCCCGCTTGCAGCAGCTCATTCAGGACTGTGTGTGGGGTGTGCGTAGGTGCCTGTGTGTTCGCACAGGCGATAATCTAGAACGGGTGCGTGGACAGCTCCCTTCTGAAGGTGGCCGCACTTTCTATGACAGGATCAGGGATGAGGATCTCAGGGAGAAGCAGGAGATGGGGGCCTCTCTGACTCCTGGAGGGGTCTGAGTCCATCCCATTACTGGCTGCATTTTTTGTCTCTCTTTTTTTTTTTTTTGAGATGGGGTCTTGTTACATTTTTCAAGCTGGTTTCAAACTCCTGGGCCCAAGTGACCTCCCTCCTTGGCCTCCCGAGTAGCTGGGACCACCTGCTTGAGACCCTGCACCTGGATACTGCGGAGGATTTTTGCTTGCTGAGTACAGCTTGTGTGTCCCAGCATTGGGTCCTGGAAGCCTTACAGTTTAGTGACGAGAGGTGTGTTTCCTCTGAGGAATACGGTAGAAGTGTTGTGAGTGATTTTGCCAAAGTGAAGGCTTTGGATTCCTCACAGGGTCTGTCTTGTGGACCTAGGAATTGTCGCCCACACGCCACCACCTTCCTCTTCGCTGCCCTTCCCTGTTTTGTCTGTGACGGTGGCCTTGTGTGGTGTGGCAGGGTGGCCAATGGACCTTCCGGCTGCCCCTGCGTTCATTCTCTGATTTGGCTTCATTTGAAGCCTCCTGTTCCTGGTCTCCAAATGAACGCACAGCCACGTGGTCTGAGAACAGAACATTCTGGCTGGAGTCTCCAAAGGTCAGGGTCAGGGTCAGGTTTCGTCAGCGTTTTGTGGTGCATTGTCCAGTCTTTTTCATCATCATGAAGAAAATCTTCCACAGGCAGAGAAGCCTTCCCAGGCTCCATCTGTCACTTATGGTTGCACCTTTGTTGGAGTCGAACGCGTTATCTGGTAGCCACTAGAAGGTGCGAGGAGTGTTAGTGTTTTGTGACTTTGCCTTTCTGGAAATATCGTTAATCTCTTCGAGGCCTGATTGTTGGTTTGACATAGAAATCCTGGTTGAAGCGGTTTCCCTTGGAGCCTGGGAGGCCTTGCCCTCTGTGCTCTCCAGCTGGCTGCTCCTGTGCAGTTTCCCGATGCCCTTCCTGTGGAAACCTGCAGCCATCTGCCACGGGTGCGTGGCGTGACAGCTGGACTCTCCTTCTTGGAGGGCACTGGAGGTTTTCCTCAGGTGTCTGGCGATCCTGTCTGCCTGGGTGTGATGGGAATCAGCATTGGCTGCCTCGGAGTCTGGGTGTGTGCCCAGGGCGGGGCCGGAGGGGCTTCCGAGCAGACCTGAGCGTGGGCAGCAGCCCCTTGCCTGTGGGCCCCGTGGTACTGTGTCAGTCGGTCTCTTGTCCTGGCCTTCACTCTTGTTGGGGTCTGTCCCCGGGGCTCTGCAGATGAGCGTGAAGTGCTGGATGGCTCTCTCCTCCGGGAGTATTTGGCGTCCCCGAGACCAGGGCCTCTCACTTCCATTTCCCGGGAGCCTTGTGCTGGCCTGGAGTTTGGGCTCAGCATACATTGGGGAGGTCTCATGTCTCTTTGGAAAGACATTTGACAGCTCCCCTTGCCACCCTGGCCTTCAGGCTGCCTGGCCCGGCCTGGTCTGGCAGGCCCTGGCGCCTCTGTGGCTTCTCTGTGGCCGATGCCTTTGTTCCTGGCCTCTAGCCCCCAGGCTTCCTCGTCTTCAATGGCTGCCTTCTCTTCTCTTCCTGCCTAGTGGGTTCATGGTTAGTAAATATCTTTTTCATTGTAGAGAGATTTGGGATGAGTGGAAACGCCTGTAGATGTGTGTGCTGGTCTCGATGTTTATCTGCCAAATTTGTGGCAAGGTGTGTGTGTGTGTGTGTGTGTGTGTGTGTGCGCGCGCGCGCGCGCACATGTGTGCAGGTATGTGTAGGCATGTGAGTATGTGCATGTGTGCGTGTATGTATGAGTGTGTGTGTGCATGTGTGGGTTTGTATGTGCGCATGCATGTGTGTGCATGCATTCATACATCCACTCTTACCCCGGCACTCAGAGGATACACATCTGCTGTTAGCTGTTTGGGGTATTTACTTTTCATCTTTTTCTTTCAGTCACTTAAAAATACTCACAAAGGCCAGGCGCAGTGGCTCACGCCTGTAATCCCACACTTTGGGAGGCAAAGGGTGGATTGCTTGAGGTCAGGAGTGTGAGAACGGCCCGGCCAACATGGTTAAACCTCATCTCTACTAAAAATACAAAAATTAGCCGGGCATGTTGGCTCATGCGTGTAATCCCAACTACTCGGGAGGCTGAGGCAGGAGAATCGCTTGAACTCAGGAGACAGAGGTTTCAGTGAGCTGAGACTGCCATTGTACTCCAGCCTGAGCAACAGAGCGAGACTCCATCGCAAAAAAAAAAAAAAAAAAAAAAAAAATCCCACAAATAGCGTACAGACGCTCTCTCATTAGATTTAGTGAGCATTGATTTATTTTTTTCCATTAATTAGTGCTGTAATGCATTTTTTTTAAGCCAGGTGTGGGGGCTCACGCTGGTAGTCCCAGCGACTGGGAGGCTGAGGCAGGAGGATTGCGTGGGCTTGGGAGATAGAGGCTGCAGTGAGCCAGGATTAAGCCCGTGAATAGCAACTGTGCTGCAGTGGGAAGCGTGGCATAGACGCCATCTCAATAAAAAATAACAACAGATAAAACCAAGAAAAAAGAATCCCTTTTTCCCATTTATGATGATTTTAGGGCGTGGAGGCTCTTGGTTCGTGTGTGGCCTTCCTGAAGGCTTGAACCGGTTGTCATGGGACGGTTGCCGATGACCATGTCCTTCTCTCATTCTTAGTGAGGTGGACATGGCCACGTGCTTGTGAGCTCACACGTGTCTCCCGGTGAGAATGCTTGATGGCTGAAGTGTCTTTGCCTGGCCCAGGCACAGCAGTTGTGGTCTGGCCTCCTGGCAGGTGACAGCCTGGCCGCCTGTGTCCTTGGCTCGTTTTGCTGGGATCTGCCTCATTGCCTTTGTCATCTGCCTGGGCATGTCGGCACTGGAGAAGCAGGGAATCCGTTACCTTCCCGTCTCCACTGTTTTTCTTGATGATTTGCATGAGCTCTTTACGCAGTCAGAGCAGAGAGCCTTTAATAACGGAGGGCGGGCAGCATGGCTGCCACTGAGTGGACCCCCCAACCACACCCCACTGTCCTCTCTGTCACCTTACCCGACAGCAGCCCCAGACCGTGTGCTAACCTGTGTGTTTGGTGTATGCAGGATGGCACACTGAGGCTCTGGGAGTACAGGAGCGGCCGCCAGCTACACTGCTGTCACCTGGCCAGTCTGCAGGAACCAGCGGACCCCCAGGCCCCCCAGGTAGCTGCTTCTGTTCACTCCTGTTGACTGTGTGTAGGTGTGTGTAGGCACCTGCAGTCGCTTGGCTTGAGTGGAAAAGTCACTTCACCATTGGAAACATTTGCTCTCAATGCCAGACTTCTTCCTGTGGGAGGGAAATCTTGTATTTCAAATTCTGAAGGTGTGTTGTCATGTCAGTGGGCAATAATCTGTCTCACTGTTGCCTGCAGACAGTGGATGTACAGGAAGGCCTCTAATCCTGCTCTGAAGTGGAAGGAATGCAGGTGCTCGAGCACGCACCTCTGTGGGTCTGCCAGCCAGGTGGGGCAGGGCCGGGGCCGGGCCCACTCCAGCATCGTCCAGCCATCTCATGGCACCCTGAATGCCCCAGTCTTGGTTAAGTTTCCCGATGGGTCTGTTTCGTTTCTTAGAGAACTTGTGTGGTGCGGTCTCTGCCCCCTGCTAGGCGGCTGTGAGACAGGACCAGGCCTTTTCCTCCATGGTCACATGACTCAGGTTCCTGGAAGTTTCCTTCATTTTTTTTTTTTCTTTTGAGGAGCTTCACTCTTGTTGTACAGGCTGGAGTGTAGTGACGTGATCTCGGCTCACTGCAACCTCCACCTCCCGGGTTCAAGCAATTCTCCTGCCTCAGCCTCCTGAGTAGCTGGGACTACAGGCGCTCGCCACTACACCCAGCTAATTTTGTATTTTTAGTAGAGACAGGGTTTCACCATGTTGACCAGGATGGTCTCAAACTCCTGACCTCAGGTGATCTGCCCTCCTCGGGCTCCCAAAGTGCTGGGATTACAGGGGTAAGCCACTGTGCCTGGCCTCCTTCATTAAAAAAAAATTTCTTTTTTGAGACGGAGTCTTACCTGCAGTACAGTGGTGCTATCTTGACTCACTGCCACCTCTGCCTCCCGGGCACATGTGATTCTTCTGCCTCAGGCTCCTGAGTAGCTGGGATTACAGGCATGTGCCACCACGCCCAGCTCATTTTTGTGGTTTTTTTTGTAAAGATGGGGTTTTGACATGTTTGCCAGGCTGGTCTCAAACTCCAAACCTGAGGTGATCCACCCGCCTTGGCCTCCCAAAGTGCTGGGATTACAGGCGTGAGCCACTGCGCCTGCCTGCCTCTTCATTTGTAATCTTCCCTCTGCCAGGAAGTGTGGGGCTTACAGGACAGTGGCATGTGTAGCTGCTGTCTCTTTCTTGCCCCTGTGTCCTCTGCTCCCTCCTCTCCTCACTGTCTGACCCATTTTGTTGGCTTTGGAGGCTGTCGAGTCTCACCTGCCACTGGCTGCTCACAGGCCTGCAGAGCACCAGGGGACTTCCTGGCAGTCCTGGAGCACCCACAGCCCCTGGGTCTCCTCGAAAGCCACGTCCCGTCCTGCCCACCTGCACTGTGCTGGTTAATCTATTGCTGCCCGGAGCTTAGGACTTAAACTCTCTGCAGGCCCTTCAGGGAGCACCAGAGCCACTGGGGGCTTTCGTCATCTGCCTGGGCATGTCTGCTCACTTGAGAAACGGAATCACCTACCCTCGTTTCCCCACTGATTCCAGAATGTTCTCGTACTGTTTCCTCTTTCCTTCCTGGATATGCGGGGGCTCTGTGCGTCCTTCAGTTTTGCTCTTGTTGGATCCGGGTGCCCAGTGTCAGCCCCTAATAAATTTCTAGATTATTAGGTGGTGTGAAGTTAACAGGCTGCTTCTCCTTTCAGAGGCTGGCCGCGTCCAGGATTGCGTTCTGGTGCCAGGAGAACTGCGTGGCGCTCCTATGCGACGGGTAAGCTGCGGTGGCACATCCATGGCCTCTGGTTTTGCAGACCTGCAGGGGGAGGGTTAGCGGGTTGGCCACTGGCCCTCGTCCTCAATGAAGAGGTCCTAGGCGGTGGTGGTGGTGGCCCTGCAGCTCCCTCTGAGAACGTCACTTTTGATGACTGCTGCGGCGTCAGGGCGGGGGGTGGGGCTCCTCTCAGCCAGCGCCCTTCACCCTGACGTCGAACTCCCCTGGTGTGAGGGGCACCAGCAGCCTCTGCCTGGCGTTCTGAGAGGATGGACTCTCCACAGGCTCGGCCGTGGTGGCATCGCTCACCTCACTGGCCGCACTCCCTGCTCGGGGCTGGTCGGGTGGGACCCCCTGGGCGTGGCAGTGCTGACGAGGCGCGTTTCGGGGTGGAGTGCAGTTCCGCGGCTGCTTCCCGAGTGGCTTCTGTGTCAGGAAAGGTATTATTTTTGGTGCTTTTGGCACTTTTCACCTTGTCCTTATGACAGTCTGGAGAGGTCTCATAGCTTGTTCTGGTGTGAGAGGAGAGCCGTGCCTGAGCCAGGGCCTGCGCCCTCCTGCCCTGCCCGCCTGTCCCGTGCTGGTTGTCTATTGCTGTGCCACGAGCCACCCCAGAGCTCAGGACTTAAACCAAGCTTGCATCCCCCCGCGGCTTCCCTGGCTCCAGCACTCCACAGAGGTGCAGCTGGGGCTTTCGGGGCAGGCTCTCCTGAGGTGGCGCAGGTGAGGGCTGCGCTGTCCAGGGTGCTGGCTGCGGCGCGGTGCCGTGGGCCTACGGTCCCAGTCATCGTGCTCTCTTTCTTCGTGGCAAGCACTCCTGTGGTCTACATCTTCCGGCTGGATGCTGGCAGACAGCAGCTGGTATACAGGCAGCAGCTGGCGTTCCAGCACCAAGTGTGGGACGTGGCTTTCGAGGAGACCCAGGGACTGTGGGTGCTTCAGGACTGCCGGGAGGCCCCCCTGGTGCTCTGCAGACCTGTGGGCGGCCAGTGGCAGGTAAGACTTGGCACCTTCCTCATGGCCCAGGCCCTGCTGTCCCATAAGCCTGTGGGTGGGGGCTGGCAGCTGAGGTTTTTGGGTCCACACATGAGCCTCTTTCAACTCGGCCACTTCTGGGGCCCAGGGTCTGTGTCCTGAGGAGCAGCGGGTGGGGCTTCCACCATGCGTTAAGGGAGCTGGGTGCCTGGCCGGCATGGCTGCTTGTCCTGCGTGGTGATGTCTGCAGCAGTTCTTTTTTTGGGGGCAGTGTGTGGCTAGGGTGTGTGGGACTAACACTTGCGAGCTGGGTTAGCACAGCCTCAGGCCTGGGGCACTGGTGGAGCACCTGGGAGCACGTGGATCCCCCGGCAGAGGAAGGGGCGAGGTCAGCGGGCTGAGCTGCTTCTCTGGAGGTGGGGGTAGGGGGAGCCCAGCTCCCTTCCTCCACCCACTGCCCTTCAGGACACAGAACCCTGGGCTGAGCTGTTTCTTTGCTGGGGGATGGGGTGAGCCCTGTACCTTCTCCATGTCGCTCCTGGTAACATGGGAGTGATGCCCCTGCCTGCCCTGCGTCTCACGAGGTTGCTGTGGAGTTGAGTGGAGTAGGTCCCAGTTTACCAAAGTTCATTTGAGCACTTTGGAAGCACTTTTAAGCCATCCAGTTCTTTTTACCTGAGAAGTGGCAGGCCACATGATGTCCCCAGTGGGCGCCTGCAGGGCCCCTGAGGTTGATGAGCTGCGTGTGAGGAGCTCACCCTGGTGTCATGGGCAAGCTGGGGGTGCTGCCTCCCTAGGTCTTCATGGAAGGCGGACGGAGGTCACTAGGCACCAGGAGGGGGGACCTCCCGCCCCAGGCCTCTCTGGCCAGCGCGTGTTGCGTCCTGGTGCCAGGTTTTCAGGCGTGCCTCTTTCTAATGAAGGTTTCCTGTTTGTTGCCTGCAGTCTGTTCTTGAGAGCGCTGTGTTAAAGAAAGTCTCCGGTGTTCTTCATGGGAACTGGGCCATGATGGAAGGTGAGAGCACGGCACAGGCTGCCCTTGGGGGTCCCGCCCAGCACGGTCCCCAGAGAAAGCAGATCACACACTGCCACCCACCTGAGGGATCTGGTGTGTGGGTAAATAGGGGAAGGGTAAGCGTGTGCCCTCATCAGAAGGTAGGGTGGGGCAGGAGGAGGGTGGCGCAAAGCAGTGAGGGACCCCCCCCATGGGAGTCAGGCTACCAAGAGCTACGCAGGAACTGGGGGCTCAGGATCTGAGCAGCATCTCCCGCTCCCCAGCTGCCTTCCGAGTTGGGTACTGGAGGTCCCCAGGGCAGGGCTGGCACCTGGTGGCTCCCAGAGGGAGCGGGCGCTGTGCTGCCTCAGGCCTGGTCCACGGTATCGAGGGAATTGATACCACTCTGCGTGCGTCAGAGCCCCACTGGGAGGACTCGTGGGGGGCTAGCCAGAGGCCCCGGGGGGTCTTCAGGAAGCTGAACGGGCAGGATGGTCACTGTCCTGATGAGCAAAATCAGCTCAGGGGAGGGAATCCGTCAGCAATTTGTTGGTTGCGGCCGCAGGAAGGAGAGCAGCCGGCTGAGGGAGGACGCTGGAGGAGCATTTCCACTCTGCCTTCTGGGGGCGCCATTGCGCCAACACCAATCAGCCTTGGAGGCGAGGGTGTCTGCAGGGTGGGTTAGCCCAGCATGGAATCCACGTGCCTCATTCATGTTTAGAATTTGCTCCCCTGAGGAAGCCTTGCAAAGCCAGAGCCCCTCCAGTCAGCACTGAGGTTCCTTGGAGCTCTGGAGGGATTCAAACTCAGGTCAGAGGAGTTTCCGCTGACGGTGGCCTGACTGCCTTCTGCCAAGTTTCCCGAGGGGTGGCGCTGGCCCTGCCTCTGAGGCTCCTCTCCTTCCTGCTTTGCTTAGGACGTTGAGGGTCCAGACAGGCAGGGCTGGGCCCCCAGTGCGGTTGAGATCTGCTTTAGGAATGCCTCCAGGGTGGGCCGGTCCCCGGCTGTGTCAGGGACTGCAGGTGGCAGTGCTCATGGCCCTGTGCTCCAGGCCATGGCCAGCATGGACCTGTTTAGTGTCACCTTGCACAGCAGGCTCAGGCCAAAGCATGGCCTTGCTCTCCTGAGCTGTTCATAAATAGAGCAGCCTGTTCTTGGTACAGACTTGGGGGCCTCGTGGGAAGAGGGACGGGGGAGGGCTGCTGCAGAGTGTCCCACAGCAGCAGATCACTGGAGGCAGTCCCTGGTGCGCGGGCGACTGGCTGGGCCTGTGGTTTCCTGGCTAGGCTGAGGCCATCTCCGTGTGCCTGTGGTCAGCCGTTGACCCCAAGCCTTGGCACTTAGATAAATAGATGGACTCCGTGCCCATTCCCTGTGGCTGCGGAACATGCTCTCCCACACTCGATGCCAGCAGGCCCCCACGCTTAGCGTCTCTCTGTTGCTGTGGGCCAAGGGTCCGGACTCCTGAGCTGTGTCTCTGCAGGTGGCCGCCTCAGCTTCACCTGGTGGGGCCCAACCCCGCTCAGTCCGGGTTATCAGTAGGACAGGGGACCAGAGGCCACTGCTCCTGGTCCCCTGCCACGTGGGCCCCTCCACAGTGTGGCTCGTGGTGTCATGGCGCAGCAGTGACTTTCTCCTGACGTGTGAGCGGAGTGCTGGCAGGGTGGAGGCCCAGCCTTGGTGCCTTGGTTTCCGTGACACTCCTTCGTCCTTGCCCCGTTCTGTTAGGAGGCAGTACTCGGGCCCAGCCAGGGTGTGGGTCCCAGGAGGTGGGTACCGTGGGCAGCCACCCCAGAAGGCACCCTCCACGGTCCACCGAGGACTCTGGGTGTCACAAGGTAACTCCCTGCTGCAGGGGCTTTGCTGTGGCCGAGTTCCATGCTCCTGCCCCACCCAGCACCTGTCCCTGTTCCCCCATCACAGGCTCTGCCAGTGGGGATGCCAGCTTCAGCAGTCTCTACAAGGCCACCTTTGACAACATGACCTCCTACCTGAGAAAGAAAGAGGAGAGGCTGCAGCAGCAGCTGGAGAAGAAGCGGCGCCGGAGTCCCCCGCCTGGGCCCAACGGGCACGCCAAGAAGATGAGGCCAGGGGAGACGGCCTTGAGTTGCTGAGCGTGGCAGTCAGTGGGGCCTTTCACCTCGAGTCAGGAAAAGTGCTTTCACTTGTTCCCCTACATCCTGGTGTCTCCCTTCAAGAAGAAAAAGGTGACATCAGTTGCGATCAGCTCACAGGATGGGACTGTTCCCTGGGCTCCAGAAAGAACATTCTGTGTCACCAGGCAGAGGCGCTTGCTTGGTGCCTGTGCCCCGTTTCTGGTTGAAGGGAAGCCAGACCGGTGGAGGGGAAGCTCTTGAAGCGCTTTGTTTTCAGGTCGGAGGCAGCGTGCTCGCCTGTGGTGGCGGCAGCTGTGCGTGGTTCTGCTGTTCTACCGCCATTCGTACCTGGCGCGTCTTCCTCTAGGAACGTCCACGGGCTGGCATTTCTGGCAAGTGGACGTTTTCATGCCGTCTCGGCGTCCAGGTGATGTGCTGCCCCTCGGTAGCTGCTTGCCACACAGGCTGTTGAAACAGCACGAACGTTCAGCCCGCCCCAGCCCCAACCAGACCCCTGTGCACAGGAGCTGCTTCTGGAGAGTAGCTCTCTCGTGGGAAGTGCAGAAATGCATTTTGGAGTTGCAGGGAGCTCTGTCAGGCAGCGCCGGCACAGATGGTGAACTTCTTTCAGGAATTGTGAGGACAGGGGCCCAGCTGGCACCCGGTTTGACAGGGAGGTGATTGAGGACGTTGTTATGATTTGACTTGACCTTGGCACACGCTGCAGAGCCTCAGCGATGCTGCTGAATTTCAGTCACCAATCAGCAGGGATGAACCTTCACAACTTCCTAGAAATGTTTAGCAGCAGCAGAATACAGCCAGCAAAGCGTCTGGGTGCATGCACTGTGTGAGTGAGGCGCTCACTGTGTGGTCTGGGAAGAGTCTTCTGGGAGCATCAGGTCATTCATTCAGGCCGGCTCCTGCCTGCTCTCCAGTGCTGAAGTCTCCACCCAAGAACAGCTGTGCGTGCTGGTGATGACTTTCACGTGGGGTGTCGCTGGGGACTTAATCCTTTTGTGTATCAAAAGCTGGAATGCTTCCAATTTTTCATAAGTGCCTTGTTTTCCTTTTAACATTGATCTGGAAACAGTGCTGCCTGGAGAGCTGAGGCCCCCTCCTGTCTGCTGGGCATCAGGGGTTTCAGAACGGAAGGGCCGTGCTGGGCCATGTCCTCCTCTCGAGCAGCCTGACGTTCACGCTGCTGGGGCGTCCGGTGCAGGGATGCCCTCCCGTTCATAGTCTGCTTTGAAAGTCTTGGTTTTAGGAGAAGTTCAGGTTGGTGTCGCCATATCATCACTTCAGAGAGGGGCTTGCAGACAGGCCCATGTGCTGAATCCCGCCCACGGCCTGATACATGGCCTGTGAATGGTTTTTTACCTTTTAAAAATGGTTGAAAACAAATTAAAAATATATTTCATGACATGAAAATCATGGTGTTCATATCCCAGCGTCTGTGAGTAGACTCTGATGGGCGCAGGCCTGTCTGTCCGTGCCTCGTCTCTGTTTGCTTTGTGCTCCGGCCGCAGACTGGTGTGTTGGGACTGAGTCCAAATGGCCTCCCCCAAGGCCACGTCTCTCCACAACTGCGGCGGGGCTCCTCTGAGGTTCTGCTTCCTCTCAGTGGGGGTGGCTTCCTGCGTTAGCTCCTCAGCATCCTGCCTTGGCCCTGAGTTGGTCCCTCTACTAATGGCTGTTTCTGTGTCTCAGGGGATGGCACAGCCGCCTTCTTGCTGGGACATTGACTGATGGACTGGTTCCTGTTCACCCGCCCAAAGTCATCCCGGAAATAGCTCTTACAGTTGCTTGGCTTGAACACAGCTCTGCATGTATTCAGAGTTTTCTCTCTTGCCCCTTACCCAGAATGGCGGCACCCACCGTCTTCCTGTCCTCTGTGACCGCCTGGCTGCTGGGTCTGTTCTGTGAGACGTCATGGCCACCCCTGATTGCCATCTGGGAGGATCTCACACCTTCAGTTTCAACTGTTCTATTCCATTAATTTTTGGTTTCTGTGTATTTTACTTTTAGGACATTCCATGGGCTTTGTTCTGCCTCTTTAATTGATTAAGAAAATTTGGTCATTGTATTCAATTTTGTGTGTGTGTGTGTGACGGTGTCTTGCTCTGTTGCCCAGGCTGGAATACAGTGGCGTAATCTTGGCTTACTGCAACCTCTGCCTCCCAGGTTCAAGTGATTTTCCTGCCTCTGCCTGCCGAGTAGCTGGAATTACAGCGTGTGCCACAACATTCAGCTAATTTTTGTAATTTTAGTACAGACAGCATTTTGCCATGTTGACCAGGCTGGTCTTGAACCCCTGACTTCAGGTGATCCTCTCACCTTGGCCTCCTAAAGTGCTGTGATTATAGGTGTCAACCGCTGCACCCAACCTACTGCATTGAATTCTAAGCACTTTCTTCTTGTTCTTCTTCCTCTTCCTCTTCTTCCTCTTTCTCCTTCTTCCTCTTTTTTCTTCTTTCTTCTTCCTTCTTCTCCTTCTTTCTTCTTTTCTTCTTTCTTTCTTTCTTTCTTTCTTTCTTTCTTTCTTTCTTTTTTCTTTCTTTCTCCTCTTCTTCTTCCTCCTCCTCCTCTTCTTTTCTTCTTCTTCTTTCTTCCTCCTCCTTTCTTCTTCTTCCTTTCTTTTTTTTTTGGAGATGGTCTTCCTTTGTCATCCAGGCTGAGGTGCAGTGGTGGTGTGATCTTGGCTCACTGCAGCCTCAATCTCCTGGCTCAAGCAATCCTCCCACCTTGGCCTCCCAGAGTGCTGGGATTATAGCCATGAGACACCGTGCCCAGCCCCTCTTTCTTCATTAGGTAACAGTGTGTGTACTGTACAACTGGAAAGTGCACATGAAATGCTAGAACTGGATTTCACCAACTGAGTGCACTGTGTGACTACCCACGAGAAGCAGGACACTTAGCACCTGCTGAGAAGCCCCCACACCCATGTTCCCTTCTAGGCACTGCCACACACATGCTGGCTGGCCCGACCTCAGTTTCCCTTCTGTTGCTCAGGCTGCTTCTGCTCCACCCTCTTTGTGAGGCTCATCCACCTTGTTGGCTGTGTTGTGGATTGTTCGTTCTCAGTGCTATGCTAAGTACTCCGTTGGGTGAAAATTCCACAGTGCTTTGCTTCTGCTGTGGATGGGCATTTGGATAGTTTCCACAGTTTGGCTGTTAGGAATGGTGCAGTGATGAACATGCTGGCACCTGTCTTCTGCTTTTTTATTTTTAGAGACAGGGTCTTGCTCTCTTACCCAGGCTGGAGTGCAACCTTGGCTCACTGCAGCCTCAGCCTCCTGGGCTCAAGCAGTCCTCCCATCTCTGCCTCCTGAGTAGCTGGGACTGCAGGTGTGTGCCACCATGCTGGCTAATTTTTGTAGTTTTTTGTAGAGATGGGTCTGGCTCTGCTGTCCAGGCTGATCTCGAACTTCTGTCCTCAAGCAGTCCTCCTGCCTCGGCTTCCCAAAGCACTGGGATTACAGGCCTGAGCCACCATCCCTAGCCAGCACCTGTCTTTTGGAACATTTGTAAGCATTTCTGTTGGGCGTGTACTTTTGCGTGGAATTGCTGGCTCTTCGTTATATAGGTTTAGCTTAGAAGATACTGCAAGGTCGAAAACACACAGCACATCCTCTTGCCTGGTGTTTGTGGCTGTGGCGGCCATGGGTGCCTTGGAAAGCCCATAGTGTGTGCTGTGGATTTCTGCAGAGGTGCAGACTTCCAGTTCCTGCGGACTGGCACAGGGAGCCAGTGAAGCTGCCCACCTAGGATCCAGACCTCACCTTGATCTGGTTCTCTGAGGCCACCTTCCCAAAACGTTGGCTCACCTAGTCTTAGATCACTCACCCTGGGGGAGATCTGCCGCAAGGTCACGAGGACACTCAGGCAGCCTACATGGAGGTCACCGTGGCAGAGCACAGGCCTCCTGCCAGCAGCCAGCAGCAGCCGGCCTGCCGTGACGGCCCCTCTGGGAAGGAGAGCTTTCTGCAGTTTCTCCTGCACCCCGTGTATACTGACATGATACATTTTTCTTTGCGATTTCCCTTGTGGTTTCTTTGGTCCGGGGTTATTTGGAAGTACGGTTTCATTTCTAAACATTTAGGGTTTTCCTCTAGGTTTTGTTGTTGTTTCTGGTTTTAATTCCATTGTGGTCTCAGAATATGCTTTGCTGCCTTCCCTCTGTTTAGATTTGTCAAGGCCTGTTTTGTGCTTCACAGTGTGGGGGTGATTGCTTGTACACATGCAGATGTGTGTGGCCCCTAACGGTGTCCCCAGCTGTCCCTGTCTTGCCTCTTCATGCCCCGTGCACCCTTCTTAGCCCTGCCGTGCGATCCTGGAGCTGCACCCTCCCTGGTCCCTCCTTTGCAAGTTGGCACAGTGTTTGGCTATGTCGCTGGAGGGGCTGGACGGACTGCACAGGAGGGGGGGCCTGCCCTCCTGGTTCCAGCGTGCTCGCCTTTCCTGGCTTCTGTGGTGTGTGCCTGCCAGCCTCGTGGAGGGTGAGGACGGGCTCTCAGTGACAGCCTCCAGGAGCTTATCGACCCCAGGTTCACCACGGTGGGAAGGATTCCTGATTCCTGCTGAGTTTCCTTGCCTCCGTCCAGCTCCCAGGGAGTCTGTCTCCCTCCTGCCCCAGCAAGAGCTTCTGGGTAAGTCTCGCTAGTGCTGCCGCCCGAGGTTTCCTGCTTCCTGGCCGTGGCCTGCTGCACCTCCGCGAACTCCACCACCCGGCACAGAGCCCCACTCAGGTCAGAGCTGCGTCGAAGCTGAGGTGGGGTTCTGAGGTTCTCACCGAGATCCAGACCCCAACATTTGTAGGTCTGTTGTCTCAGTCCTGTCGGGGAGGTTCTCCTAGGCCTCAGCACCCTGTGCTCAGACGTCTCCTTACATGTTAGTGGAACCCTCTGTTACTGTTTAATTATTCTTCATGTTAAATGTTTCTGTCTTTTAGCCAGGTGTGCTGGCTCATACCTGTAATCCCAGCACTTTGGGAGGCCAAGGTGGGCGGATCACGAGGTCAAGATTTCAAGACCAGCCTGACCAACATGGTGAAACCCCGTCTCTACAAAGAGTACAAACATTAGCTGCATGTCATGGTGCATGCCTGTAATCCCAGCTAGTTAGTCTGTCTAAAGTTTGTCAGTTTTGTTTCCAAAAAAACCTTTATTTTATTGATCTTTTGTACTGTTTTCTTCATTTCACTTCATTTGTTTCTTCTCTGACTTTTATTTCTTTTCTTCTAATTTTGGGTTGGGTTTGCTCTTGCCTTTCTGTTTCTTTAAAGTGCATTGTTATATTGTTTAATTAAAGTTTTTTTCTTTCTTTTTTTTTTTTTTTAAAATGGAGTCTCACACTCTCCCCCGGCCTGGAATGCAATGACGCAATCTCAGCTCACTGACACCTCTGCCTCCTGGGTTCAAGTGATTCTCCTGCCTCAGCCTCCCGAGTAGCTGGGATTATAGGTGCTGGCCACCGTGCCTGGCTAATTTTTTGTACGTTTAATGGAGACCAGGCTTCACTATGTTGGCCAGGCTGGTCTCAAACTCCTGACCTGGTGATCCACGTGCCTCAGCCTCCCAAAGTGCTGGGATTACAGAGATGAACCACCACACCGAGCCCTCCCCCCCTTTTTTTTTTCCTAATGTAGTCTCTATGGCTATAAACTTCCTGCTTTGTACAGCTTTTGCTGTATCCCACAGTTGTGATATGTTGTGTTTCTGTTATCACTTGTTTCAAGAAAATTTTCAGTTTTCTTCTTAATTTCGCCATTGACCCACTGCTCACTCAGGAGCATATTTTTTTGTTTGTTTTTGTTTTTTAATTTTTTTTTTTTTTTTTTGAGATGGAGTCTTGCTCTGTCACCCAGGCTAGAGTGCAGTGGCACGATCTTGGCTTCTACAACCTCCGCCTCCGGGTTCAAGCCATTCTAGCATATTGTTTAATCTCCATGAGTTTGTGTAGTTTTCAAAATTCCTCTTGGTCCTGATTTCTAGTTTTATTCCATTGTGGCCAGAGACGATGCTTGATGTTATTTCAGTTTTCTGGATGTTTTAAGACTTGTTTTGTGACCTAATGTATGACGTCTCCTTGAGAACAATCCACGTGCTGAGGAGAAGAATGTATACGCCGCAGCTGTTGATGCAATGTTCTGTAAATACTAGTAGGTCCGTCTGGTCTATAGCAGAGATTATATCTGATTATTTTTATTGATTTTCTGTCTGAACAGTCTGTTCAATACTGAAAGTGGGGCGTTGCTCAATACTGAAAGTGGGGCGTTGAACTCTCCAGTTGCTGTTGTGTTGGGGTCTATCTCTCTTTAGCTCTAATTACATTTGCGTTGTGTGTCTGGGTGCTCCAGTGTTGGGTGCATATGTATTTATAATTGTTATATCCTCTTGCTGAGCTGACCCCTTTATTATTTATATAATGGC